ATCATAAATAAAACAGCAACCTGAGTATGCAGCGATGCTGAGATTCCTTCAGACACCCTGGAATCGCTGCAGTCTCTCAACACTGGAATAGGTGGGTGTATAGGCAATCAGCTGTTTGGGTTGGAAGGGTGTTGCTGGGGTCAAGTGTCAGACAGACTGTAAGTCCAGCAAAATCAGGCACACGATTTCCTTTTACTGACCCTGCACCACATTGGAGTTAGTAGAGTCACTCCACTACTCTTCCAGGGACACACTAGATTTCCAGTGCCCACTAGAAAACAAGGGTAGTCAGTGGGAATGATAGAACATGGTTTGTACAGACAAGAGAGATCAACTACAACAAGCGATGCAAACCGTTACCCTCTATCCTGACTCAGACTCCAATTTAGACCCTGATGACTCTGGCGGCCATACCCTAGGGTATGGCGAAGTACAGTAGTCACTGTATCCAGTGAAATACTGTAAATCCAACTCTGCGATTCTGCAGTATTGCCTATTTTCAATTTGCGATTCACTGGGGACTGACAGATTTGAATTCTGACGGACAAAATTGAAGTTATGACTGACCCTAATTAGCACAACCTATAAATAGACTCGGAGCAAAACTGGAATTCACAGTATCACTACCTTTCCAGTATAGAATACACAATCCGAGCATCCCAGAATAATCGCAATGCAGTAAAGCAGTCCCAGAACAATTTTGGATTGAAAAGAGTCAACAGAGGGTTAGAAATGAGCAAAGAGAGGTAGGGGAGAGATGGCTATGGTTGTCATGCAGTCTGCGATTTTCACATTCAGTCACTGACAGACAGATAGACCATTATAATTAACTAATCTAATCCTATCTGGATCGCTCTGCAGGTAGGTGCATGGAACGGACTCACTTTCAGAGAATCTTGCAGGTGTTGATGAAGATCTGGCTATGGCTATGACAACCATTATCTCGCCAATTCCTCCAGATATTCCTCCTGATAATCCCACGCACATAACTGCTTCCAACTCGTTGATCCTCCTCAGGATCTTGTAGCGCTGCACTCCCTCAACCCAGATCCACTGTATCTGGGCTTGTGGCGCCCAGATAGTCACCAACAATGTATCTCGCCACAGTGCCTGGTAGCCGCTGATGCTAAAAATAGCCCCAGATGGGGTTATTTCTTCTGGAGATTGATATACTGTGTCAATCTCCCTCAGCACAACCCAGGGATGATGCCGCTCAGGGTTCCTGATGTCCTCAGGGGTAATTCGCCACTCTGGGGTAATTCACAATACTACCCTCAGGGTTGGCTATGGCGAAATAGCCCTGTACTCCCACTTCCTAGCAAGCGCACTGAACCTGCCCTGACAGGCTCAGTGCGCTTGCTCAGTACACACTGAACACCTGAATCCACTGAAAGTCTTCTTCCCTGCTGACTCAGTACTGGGGAAGATGAATCGCCATGAAACTCTCGCCAGTAGGTCGCCAGATGAAGAAGATGCCTCAGTGCGCTCAACCCTCAGTGTTCCAATTCCAATCCCAGCTTTGATACCAACTGTTATGACCTTGGTTGTCTGATGATTTTAACCGCCACTCGCACACAGACAGTCTCATACACGCCCATACATGCATAAGAGAAGGGGGAGAGGAGACAGAGTCCACACTGCACACAGATCAGAGT